ATCTGCATGGAGATGAGTGTATTGTTGTGGATCACTTGACGTATTTGCTTGCCAGCCTGCCTTCCTGTCTGATATGATGTGCCTGATGAGTTAAGGCCAAAGTGCAAAGAATGAAATTGAATTTAATCGCAGCTATCTTAACCTCAAGTCAATGGATTACAATGGATGTGCTGGCAATAAAATTGAATGAACAAAAGATTCGTTATACGTTTTGAACTGTTCTTGACTTAACACATCAGGAGCACATTGATATATTTGCATATAAATCTTTTGTGTGTTGACGATGTAAAAATTGAACTCAAATAGTTAAATTTTTAAAAATTCAATTAAATTTTTTTTTCGACATTGAATATATTTTTTAACTTGCAATGAAATATGTTAATGTTAGTTTTAAGAAACTCCACCATATACAGTATGGATGGTATATTAATTTCGTCGTTTAAGACATTCATATCATAGACGGCATATTTCTCACATTACTTCAAAATATTATATTTAGGGTAGTGTGGCGAGTCTTGTATATGGGCCGCAATATAACAGGTGGGTTAAGATCAGAATGGAAGCGTATTTTTAGAGATGATCTCAAAATACAGGGTGAGTTAAAAAACTGCAACCAAATTCAGACTGCTGTCAATTCTAAGACATTCGTCCGAGAGCTGTTAAAATTATTCCAGTCACAGCTGATTATTTGGTGAGAATTTTTTCCAGAAAAAGCGTTATACGTGATGGAGTTTATATGTGACAGTGTTTTTTTTTTTTTTTTATATTTGACTGGAAAACCACAAGTGGCTATCATTAGGGCACTCCAGCATTTAAATGTGAATAAATCTTTTGTGTCTCGTACCATCGCTCGTTACCGTGCTATGAGCTCAGGGTAAAGCCATTGAATTTCCAAAAAGTGCAAGAACATACACAACAACAGAAAGAAAATAGACTAAAAGAGCGAAAGAGTTGCTTCGTTTGGCCGATGAGAAAACATTCATTTTCCAGCAGATCGTAAACAAAGAAAATGATCGTGTTTACTTGCCAAAGAGGTCAGCTGAAAATGTGCACCTTCGGTTGGCCACCAGAACTCAAGCGCCAGCCATTGTGATGATGTGGGCCGCCATAACATCCGATGGTCGCCCTCCGCTCGTATTAATCGATTTTGACATCAGAATAAATTGCGAATATTATCGCGAAAATATTCTGGAGGGTGTATTAGAGCCTTGGGCACGCAAACATTTTGGCTCAGACCTTGGACTTTCCAACAGGAGCCGCACTATCGCACTCAGCACCCGCCACCCAAGAATGGTTACAAAATGAGGTTCTTCGCTTCATTTCTATCCCACAATGGCCCACAAAAATCTCTGGATACTAATCCGTTGGACTATTGTGTCTGGAGTATTTTGGAAAGCAATATTGGCACTAAAAAATTCACCTCAAGCAAGTGCTTCGCCGGGAATGGGCCAAAATACCGCAGAGCAACATTCGGGCAGAGTGTGATGGTTTCATTTGGCGTTTGGAGGCCATTATTCGAACAAATCTGAACATATTCTAAAATTTGATTCTATTCCCGACTTTTTATGCTATCATTCAATGAAATTAAAAAAAAGAAAAGTTGTGGAGTTTGAGTTTTTTGCAGTCTTTTTTATCTCACCCTATATTCAAATCCCTAAATCAGTAAAATGTCATGATTTTGCAGTTATAGAACAAGCGACTTGGAATTTTGCAATGGGTTTGAATTTAGGACAGAAGCCAACCAATTTGGATGGTCAGTGAATAATATTTATCATATAAACCATTAAGTAAATATAAGAATTCGGGTGACGCCGACTTTATGATACCCAACACCACTACGAATATATAGAAGATCCAACTGTAACAAAAAATGGAAGTGGAAATTAATTTAAACTAACATTAGAAAACTACATCTTTATTAATTTCTACAAAATACTGAGGTAAATTTTTTGTTTCATGTGACTCCTTGAACCAAATATCGTTGCTATGGGGTGAATGTTATTACCTTCAGAGTACTTAAATATAAAATCGGGTTAAATATCTTTATAAGTCCAAATGTTGCGTCCCCGATGTATTATTTACAACAATTTAGAGGGTAATATATATAGGAGAGATATCCAAATCTGAAAAGATATCGATAACAAGTAAGCAAAGGCTATAGTCATGCGGGGCCGACCTATGATACCCTACAACACTACAATATATCAGAAGCCCCCTTATGTCCAAATCCCATTCGCTTTTGAAATTATGTCACGGAGCACTGCCCAGATGTTACACTTAGCATTTTGACCAGGGACATTTTCTCAACATTTAGGCACTCCGTCCTAGTGCTAGTTGTTGTGGTCCATTTTACAGCTTAATATAACCCAATGGTCATCCAAAATGCTAGAATTCTTCTCTGTCCTTAACTTTCTTCGCAGGCGTATCGATTGGCTATAATTGTGTGATCATAAATTTTTTTTCTGTTTTTGGTTCATTTGAACCCCTAAATATTTTGCGATCATCTCCAAAAGCAAGTGGCCCCTCTGTATCTCCAAATTTAGACTTATTTATATGATTTGCTGGGCTATGATATTTGGCTATATTCGTCAACGAAATCAGCACATAAAAACAGGTTTTCGCCTTTTGTGTATTCCGGATATCGCCTGTAAGAAATGCTGGTATTTTTTCACACAAAATTAGTGGTCCATTCTACAGGCTGTCCTGAATTCTAACTTTATGCGAGATTTCGTGTCCTCAGGTTTCTACTTGTGACCTTTATAACGGCTGCAAAATCAGGAAAGTTTTTAGTTGTTGGTCCATTTCTACCCCTAATATATTGCGAACATATTTGAAAACAATAGGCCTAGCCCTTCTGAGCCCAACCCTACGCTCTTGAACATTTTCGTGAGAATCGGACGATATTTGCAATCTTTATATAATAATCCCAACCTGTGTTGTAAGGTGAAAAAATATTAAAAAATATTATAAGTCAAATTGAAAAAATTGCATGCGATAAAAATATGAAAAAAATAAAAAAGATGTCACAAAATACTACAAAATCTATATTAACATCATTATTGGCATATTTTTCTGCGATTTTTTTAGTTTTTATACTTTTATATCAAGAGGGCATTCTGAACTGACAAAATTTGTTAAAATCGGTCCAGACATTCTTGAGATATAAGCATTCTAACTAACATCCCCTTTTATTCGCGGTTTAATAGAAAATTTGACTTTTATTTAACACAAATATTGTGGCCTATTTCACCCACTAAATATTATCCGATGACCATCAAAATTGGAAGGCATCTGCCCAGCCCTAAGCTCTAGCCCCATACTAACTTCCGTTTCCATTAGTCTATAATTCCGACCTGTAGAGCAACTGCAAAGTCAGGAAATTTTTCAGTTTTTGGTCCAATTCAACCCCTAAATATTATGCGATCATCTCCAAAAGAAATAGGGTTCTATTCTGACCCTAGCACCACCTCCGTTCTAAATTTCGTGAAGATAGGGTCATAATTGCGACCTATAGAGTGATTACAAATTGACATGGACAGACGGACGGGCGGACATACATAGCTAGATCGACTCAGCTCGACGAGATAGGAAGATCCATATATACTTTCCTCTATGGGAAACCAATATTTCGAGGTGTTACATAATTTTTGGCCCAATCAAGCTTATAATACCGCCAATACATATAGGGTAGGGTATAAAAACCTTATATCTTGTACAGTATCCATGTTAGGGAGTGTATAATACGCATTTGGGTGATTTAGGCATTACATTACAAAGGAGCTACAGCTGTATCTGATAACCCATTTTCACTAAATTTAAAGCACCAGACTGTATTCGGTCGGATATGACCACTTTCATCCTATTTGGACGAATATTACATATTTGACGCACAATAAATTTGAAATCGGACGTATATTATTATGGGAGCTATATCTAAATTTCATCCAATTACCATCAGTAGGGTTCGTCCTTGGGCAAAACAAATTATGTATGGAAAATTTCATTTCAATCGGACCAAAAATGCGGATTGACATGCATAAATCGATCGACAATATGATTTTATGAAGATCGTCAAAATGAACTATGGGTCTATAAAGAAGAAAATTTCCATTAAACTGAGAATATTTTTAATGTCAGCGAAATCACAGATACAGAAAAAGAGGCTTCAAACCATTAGATTGATGCTGATATTTAAGATATCGGACCGCTTATAACTCAAGAACGGCTTGACGGATTATGACAATTTTCGCCATAGTATAGAGGGTATATTAAGTCTGTCATTCCGTTGTAATACCTCGAAATGTAAATTTTAGACCCCACAAAGTATAAATATTCTTGATTAGCACAAAATTATATGTCGATTTAGCGATGTCCGTCCGTCTGTCCGCCTGTGGAAATCACTCTAGCTTTACTCAAATGAATTTTATGTCTACAGGACTTTTGGTATTGAAAAAGGGCCACGTACGGTCACGTTTTGGTATAGCCCGCATATAACGGTACCTCCCGACATTCGGTATTTTGATGATTTTAGCGACATTATTCACCGGAATTGCTTCAAATTTGATATTTAAAGTTCGAAAAGGATACTACAGAAAATTGTCTGTACAGCTCTTATATTTTAGCCTTTGCTTACTTCTTTTTGTATATTTCGAAATGTATATGTTTGCACGTCCATAAGGGGTCTATTTCAAAACGTGGACTAGAATTACAAACATTAATTTGAGAACTTGTTACAACATCTTAAAATACTAGTTAGCCAAGTAGATAAATTGGTAATAATTCTTGGGAGGGTATAATTCGTAGACCCTTCATTCTACTGTAAAGTTGTTATTGAAAATATTCACATGTTCATGGCGAATTACATAAAAATAAACAAATTGGAGATGGCAACAATCTCCAAGGTTACCCGCTAACACAGAAGCTATTTATTTAAATAAATATTCACAATGCACCCGGCTACATTTTCAACTTACATTTAATTGCATTTTCAACGTAGCAAAAGCAACATCATGGATATTTCTGCCCTACAAGAAGAACTACCTTTGCTAAGTTCTGATGACTTTGAAAATTTCAAAAAAGATCTATTGGCTACGGTTTACAACCACACCAATACTCAGCTATTGATATATCAACGTGGTAAATGTTTGAAAAATTCCAAAAATACAAAAACCAAGAAATCTAAAAAAGCTCCCACGGCACTTCTCAATGATGAACCCATGCCATCGGAAGAAATATTGGATGACATTAAATTGGACAAAGAACTGGATGCATTGCGGCATATTTATGAATTGGCCTATAATGAATTAACCAAAAAATTAACATCCATTGATGCTGATAATGACAACGATAATTTACCAAGTCAAACGACTGGTGGACAAGACGGCGAACTGATTCATGCCATTGAGTCGAGGCAACAAAATAACAACGAAGTCGACTTAATCACCAAAGAACTACGCGAAAATAAGGCCATACTCAAGGAGCTCAAGGAACAAATGAAAACGGAAAAGGCAAATTTCGAACAAAAGTACGTAAATAGAACGGAACGTTTGGAACACCTTCGTGACCAGTTACACAACATCAAACGAATAAATGATTTGGAATGTCGCCTTGTGGAGAAATGGGAGGCAAATCGTTTATCTCAAGCCACAATAATGGGACAAAACGAAGAACGTTCGTTGATGAAACAAATTGTCGATTTGCATCGTCGTTTGGCTGGTGAACAACGTTTGATTTGTGAAGTGGAGGCATTTCGCAAACACGAAGCTCAGCAGTTGCAGGAACAAATTGATCATTGGAATCGAAAATTTACAGATGAAAAGGCCAAGATATTTGCAAAAAATCTACAATTAAGTGAAACTATTGCCGATCTTATAAAGTCGCATGAAAAACATTCCGAAATCAAAGCAGAACGCAGACAATTTGTCAATGAATATCTGAAAGAGAAGGAAGAGGAAAGGAGGCTATATGAAGAGCAAATGTATCGTGTCGAGTGTGCTGTGCGTATACAGTCTTGGTGGCGTGGCACAATGGTGAGAAATGGCCTGGGACCCTATCGTAAGAAATCGAAAAAGGGCAAGAAATCTAAAGCTAAGAAGTAAAATATTTTGTGGAAGAATATAATATATTAAAATAAAATGAATGAATGAATCGTTGTTATTTTCATTGGAAATATGGTTCATAGATAGATAAAATAAGGTATAAGCATGGCGTGCCCATTTTTGTTGTTATATAGGTTATTTTTTGATTTCGAGAAAACTTTTTGTTAAACTATGACATATTTTCAATTCTTTATACCCTCCATCATTAAATAATATATTCTTCGTAGCTTCCTTAAAGTGTATAATTCGATGTCGTTTTAGCTGTGTCCATTTGTCCGTCTGTAGAAATCATGCAAGCGCTGTATTTGTTCTTGTTCTTTGTGGGTAGATAAAGTCCTCTCAAGAAGTGTTCTGTATAGATATAAAGGTACAAAAAGCCCATAAAATGGCGCTTTAAATTGTTTTTATACCCTCCACCTTGGAGAGAAGGGTATATTAACTTTGTCATTCTGTTTGTTGCATCTCTAATATTCGACGTAGACCCCCATAAAGTATATACAGGGTGAGATTAAATAACTGCAATCAGCTTCAGACTGCTGTCATTTCTTTCGACAGCTGTTAAAATTATTCCAAGGACAGCTCATTATATTGTTTACAAGGGCACAAAAGCATTTTGGTGAGAATTTTCCAGAATTCAAGCGTGATTGTCTAATTTCTTTACATTTTACTGGAAACCCACAAAAGGATATCGTTAGAGCACTTCAGCATTTCAATGTGAATAAATTTCGTACCATCTCTCGTTATAGTGATACTGGTAGCGTAGTCCGACGTCAAGGAATTGGACGGAAGAAAATAGCAACATCAGCAGAAATGGTTCGAAAAGTAAAGAAGGGACTAAATCGAAACTGAACATATCGCAATATTCCATTCAGCAAATATTGAAAAATTCGCTCGGTAAGGCCATTGAAATTCGAAAAAGAGCAATAAATTACACCGCAACAGAAAGAAAATAGACTCAAAAGAGCTAAAGAGTCGCTTCGCTTGGCCGAAAGTGACGAACTGCCGATTTGATTTTCTCCGATGAGAAAACATTCGTTTTCCAGCAGTTTGTAAACAAACAAAATGATCGTCTTTACTTGCCAAAGAGGTCAGCTGAAAATGTGCACCTTCTGTTGGCCGCCACAACCCAAGTGCCGGTCAGGGTGATGGTGTGGGCCGCTCTCCGCTCGAAAATTTTCTAGAGGGTGTATTAAAGCCTTGGGCACGCAAAAATTTGGCCGCAGACCTTGGACATTCCAACAGGACTCAGCTCGCGCCACCCAAGAATGATTAGAAATGAGGTTCCTCGTTTAATTTCCAGCGCAAAATGGCCACCATAATCTCCGGATACCACTCCGTTGAACTATTGTGTCTGGAGTATTTTGGATAGCAAGGTGGGCATTAAAAAATACCAAAAAGTAGATCACCTCAAGCAAGCGCTTCGCTGGGAATGGACCAAAATACCGCAGAGCAACATTCGAGCATTGTGTGACGGTTTCATTGGCTGTAGGCCATAATTCGTGCCAAAGGTGATCAATTCGAACAAATCTAAACTTATTCTAAAATTTGATACTATTTCTGACATTTTTTGTTTCATTCAATAAAATTAAAAAAAAAAAGTAAAAAAGCAGTAAGTTCGGCCGGGCCGAACTTTGAATACCATTTTACCATACCAATACCATTTGGAACGAATTAGAAAATTTTCAAATAAAAATAAAATCCATTAAAAATTCTTTTAAAATCTTTAAAATATCTAATATAGGAAGGTGCCGATATGGGGGGATATACGATATTGTGGACCTATAAAGACAAATCTATGTCTGCGTGTAAAGTACTCACAAGGAACTCCTTGTGTGGATTTTCAAAATACCGAATATCGCGGGGTATCGTTATATGGGAGCTGTACGCTATCGTTAACCTATATAGAGAATTCTCTGTCGGGGGTAAAGTGCTCACAAAGAACCCCTTGTGTACAAAGAACCCCTTGTGACCATTCCGTTGAAAAATATGGCTAAAAACATCAAAATACCGAACATCGGGGGTACCGTTATATGAGGGCTATACGATATTGTGGACCTATATAGACAATTCTTTTTGAGGGTAAAATGTCCACAAGGGACTCCTTTTGTGGAATTTCAGACAATTCCATTGAAAAATGTGGCTAAAATCATCAAAATAACGAATACCCTGGGGATACCGTTATATGGGGGCTACACGATATTGTAGACCTATATAGATAATTCTCTGCCGAGGTATAAAGTACCCACAAGGAACTACTTTTGTGGATTTTCAGACAATTCCATTGAAAAATGTGGGTAAAATCATCAAAATACCGAATATTGGGGGTACCGTTATATGGGGGCTATATGATATCGTGGACCGATATAGCCCATCTTCGAACTTGACCTACCTGCAGACAAAAGAGAGATCTGTGCAAAATTTTAGCTTCCTATCTTAATTCGTTTAGACTGTAGTGTGATTACAACAGACGGACAAACGGATGGACAGGGCTAGATCATCTTAGAATTTTACGCTGATCAATAATATATACTTTGTTGGGTCTAAAATGATTATTTCGATGATTTACAAACGGAATGACGAACTTAATATACCCTCCATACTTTTTTGGTGGAGGGTATAACAAGTAAGCAAAGGCTATAGTTGCGCGGGGCCGACCATGTGACTACACTACAATATGTTAGAACCCTCTTTATGTCCAAATCCATTTCGGAAGATTTTGCTTTTGAAATGATGTCACGGAGCACTGCCCAGATATCACCCTTTGCATTTTGGCCAGGGAAATTTGTCCAATATTTACGCACTTCGACGTGCAGCTATTTTTTGTGCTCCATGTTACAGCTAAATAGAATCCAATGGTCATCCAAAATGCTAAAATTCTTCCCTGTTCTTAACTCTCATTCTCATGCAAAATTCCGTGTTGATTGGTTTGAATTGTGTGATCAGGAAAATGTTTCTGTTTTTGGTTCATTTGAAAACCTAAATATTTTGTAGTTGTTGGTCGATTTCAACCCAACTAAAAATATTGCGTACATCTTTAGACCTTGCCCTCCTGAGCCTAACCCTACCCTTATGAAAATTTTCGTGAGGATCAGACGATAATTGCAATCTGTATATAATATACCCAACCTGTGTTGCAAGCTGAAGAAAATATTTCAAAATGGACACTTCAATATTATAAGTCAAATTGAAAAAATCGCATGCGAAAATATGAAAAAATAAAAAATGTCACTTTTTTATGCGATTTTTTCAGATTTTATGCCAAGAGGGCATTCTGAAATGACAAAATTTGTCAAAATCGCTCCAGCCATTCTGGAGATTTAAGCATTTTAGCTAACATCCCCTTCCTTTATTTATATACATTGTATAAATTTCGCTATATATATCCGACATTTTTACTATCGGCATCTAATTAAAGGTCAGAATTGACGTGTTCGTCTATTTTTGGTTTCGCCGCCATTAAAAATATTCGCGGTTTAATGGAAAATTTGACCTTTATTTATCACAAATGCTATGGTCTATTTCAACCACTAAATATTACCCGATGGCCATCAAAATTTGAAGGCTTCTGCCCAGCCCAAAGCTCTAGCCCCATGCTAACTTCGATTGGTCTATAATTGTGACCTTTAGGGAAACTGCAATATGAGGAAATTTTTCAGTTTTTGGTCCATTTCAACCCCTAAATATTATGCGATCATCTCCAAAAGAAATAGGGTTCTATTCTCAGGAAATTTTTCATAAGGGTAAGTTTGGCTCAGAAGGGCTAGGCCTATATATTTGGGGGTTGCAATGGATCAATAATTAAACATGTTCCTGATGAAACCAAAGGACACGAATCTCGTATGAAGTTAGAATTTAGGACAGAGTTTCAAAAGCCATAATGGATTTGGACATAAGGAGGCTTCTAATATATTGTAGTGTTGTGAGGTATCACATGGTCAGCCCCGCACGGCTATAGCCTGCGCTTACTTATTTTTATCTCACCCTGTATAAGTATCGGTTGTATTGTGAACATATATGCGTGTCGGCAACCGAATGGTATTTTTCTAACTTTATTTACCACATTAAAGTTATTTCGTCTTCGTTAATTTTTGTATTTGTTTGGAGCTTTTCGTTTAGATTAGTTTTTATACCCTACAACACTATGTGTTGGGGGTATTATAAGTTTGATTGGGCCAAAAATTATGTAACACCACGAAATATTGGTTTCCCACATAGGAAAGTATATATGGATCATCCTAGCTCGCCGAGCTGAGTCGATCTAGCTATGTATGTCCGTCCGTCCGTCTGTCCGTCTGTCCATGTTAATTTGTAATCACTCTACAGGTCGCAATTATGGTCCGATCTTCACGAAATTTGGAATGGAGGTCGGGGTTGGGCCAGAATAGAACCCTATTTCTTTTTGAGATGATCGCATAATATTTAGGGGTTGAAATGGACCAAAAACTGAAAAAATTCCTGATTTTGCAGTAGCTATACAGGTCGCAATTATAGACCAATCGACGCGGATTTTCGCATGTAGCTAGAGTTTAGGACGGGGAAGAAGCCTACCAATTTGGGTGGTCATCGGATAATATTTAGCGGGTAAAATAGACCATGTATTTTGTGTTGAAAAAATTCAACAATTTTCATTAAACCGCGAATATTTTAAATCCCGGCGAAATCACAAAGCCATGACAATGTTACTTCTGACCTTTACATTGATGTTAACATCCAACAAATCGGATATATAGCAAAATACGTTCGATATATGTCTATCAAAGAAGATATGCTTGAAAGATCCCTTATATGTCGAGAACGACTGAACTGATTTCGACAGTTCTCATTAATTCAGAATGGCCTCTTGGCAGGAAAGCAAAAACGTCTAAAAAAATCGCATAAAAATATCTCTCTAAAGATGAAAATATTGATTTTCTAACATTTTCTCATATTTTTTCAATTTTGTCATATTTTTGGCATATTTTCATTTTGAATTAAACATTTGGTAATATTTCTACAGCTAACAAAACTAAGTAGTTATGACAT